AGACGTGTCAATGAGGAGCGAAGTGTTGGTGCTTGTGTTGGTGTGACTTGGAGCGGGCGAGCCGTCACATGGACACGAGCGTATCTTTAGGTGTGTATGCCACTTGAATAGTACAAGTATAAGTGCCAGTGTAATAGGCAGTGTCAGCGCGGGTGACACACAAAAACACACGCACACACAACTCCAATGGACGCGCCTGGCGTCTAACACAGCTCATCCCGGCGTCGCCAAACAGTCTGCTCGATTTCAACACCCGTCGTCTTCATCTAGCATCACCTCTCCTCACGACGTCCTCAGGCTCAGCTTAGCTCCACTGCATGACTGTACTGCCCGTACTAGTGCAGGTATCTAGCGAGCTCAGGACACACACTGGCACACTGATATACGCAGGAAACTCACAAACATACACGCGCGCACGTACTTACAGGCACGCACAGGAGTTAAAGGCTTTTGCTGCAGCCATTTCCGCACACATCTAGCACAATCGAGCGAAAGGCGTGGAGACAGGATGGAGGTTGAAGGCGCCTCTGCAGACGCGACTCATGCATGCAGCGAAGTCTTGTACTACAACTTGTCTCTGGTCCCGTTTGTAAGGTTTGATGGAACTAGAACAGTAGAAGGCTCCTACAATGCGCTAACCTGTGCCCATGCCTGAGATCATGATAATACCTCCCGGCCTCTGAGCTCTCGATTTCAAGTACAAGTTTGGTGTGTTTGATTCGGCGTGCGTTCCACGCGCCTGCACTCGAACTCTCAACACATTCACGCCTTTCCTGAGGCGGCGAGAGACGCATGCACAGCCAGCTAACTAACTTATGTAGTGGTATTTCATCAGTACATGTATTAGCTCTTGTACACGCGCTAAGCGATCAGTATCAGCATGCGCTACCCTGAACTGAAGGCTTCACCCCTATTCCCTATCTTTTAGGTGTTCGATTGGCTCCGCTGTCGGCAACGTCGTGTCATCGGCTTCCTTCGCGACGCCACATTCCCGTCGACGAGTTGACGCCGTCGAAAGAGGCACATTTCAATGCTTGTTTGAAGACAGTCAAATCTTTTTGTGATGCGTAAGTTTGGCACGTAGATCTACCCAGCACTGACTAGAGTCTAGACTAATGCCAAAAAAAAACAATCATGTACATAATATTGTATGCGGCATTGTTCTCGGCGAGTTGTGTACACTATTGGTAATACAATTCTTTTCACGGGGCATGATGGTGCTGGTTGTAGTGTAGTTGAAACGGTGAGAGGTGCCGTCCCGCTGTGACACAGGCAATTCCTGGTGCCATCGCCCCGCCGCTGCCAAGACAGCGACTCTTGTTAGGGACAGTTTCTTGCCTGGCGTCAGCCTTTTCCCCGACTGAAAGGGGATCCGGTGACACAAGATCCTGTTTCACCAGGCCCTCAGCAGGAAAGTGCCAACGTTAATACGCTATTTCATGTAATGACATTACAGTTCATGTTAGATGTGTACGGCCAAAATTGCATCTCAGCGAGAGGTCGAATTAGGATAGGCAACAACAGAAGTCAGGACGAATGGCTGGCAGAAGGCAACGCAGGATGTGAAGCCTATTCACCCCGACTAAGCCGACATTATCACGAAGGGCTTCCTCTTCAAATCGAATGTGATTGGAATGTTCCACTAACACATCATGACCAACATTCTTCAAGCTCATTGTTTTCGTATGTAGGGAGATAGGTTCTTTCTGGCTGAGGCCTGAAGCGAAGGGGTTGTCTGCCAAGTACGCGAAATGAGAACTCCAGAACCACCATTCCAGGCGGCTCCAGACTCCAGCCAAGAAGTTCTGACGCAAGTTCCTTTATCGAAGCTGACAAACGCTACACCTTCGATTTGGTACTGTTCAGCAATCGCACATCAGCACAGAGCCAGTCTAGTAGAGCCAGTAGATCTACTACTTGTAGGCAGTCACTGAGACGGAGCCAGTGGTCAGAGCTACACTGACAAAATTCTGTAGTAGCATTGACACGATCTGTCCAGGAGAGAGAGAGCGCAACGCCACGTCCACCAATCCGTGAGGCTCCAGAGCTGGCAGACAGCTGGCAGTGAGGAGGTCAGTGGCCCTCGTGGTCATAGACCGTTGCTACTGGCAGTGTTCATGGTGTTCGTCTGCATGCATGATTTCATTGCCCTGTGTAAGTTATCTTCTTTACACACCAGTAGTACACCATGCTACACAGTCTGCGGCTTAGGGCCTGCTCGGTAGACATTCTCTAGCGCCACACGCTGCTTTATCGCAGTGTCTAGCGCGTGCCGTTACAGAATTGCTCGTTAGATACAAGCCATGCGAGCATCGACGTGACGGTGTTTTTACGCCAGTCCCGAGACACAGAAACTACGTTTGTGCGCGGGGTGACGGTCACACCATACAGGTGCAGATGTTACTGTGTGTGACTGCGGTGACGTGACAAGTGTGCCGTCTGCGTGTCGTTGTACGCACCGCAATGCGTGTACGTGCATGCGTGCGAACACCAGATCCATCTTATCTTGATGTGGACTCAGTCAGGCGCTAAACCACCATCGTCTACGGGTGCTTGGCTCGAAGCCCTGATTCTAAGCGCGGGCACTTCGCACAGCGGGTGCAAAGCCCACAGAACACTCTCGCCACGCTATGTCTTGCAGCTAGCAATCAGTTTCAGCCTGTCTGCGAAGAGAAACGTTTCTTTGGAAAAGCGACTTTTTGTTCTTCTTTCCTGGTCACGCACGGAGTGTGGACGCAAGCCACTGCCTCGATCAGTCCTTTGGCTGGTAGCATTATGTCCGATACTTACTGATGATCGGCATTAATGTGATTCAGGGAGCTGTATGGGTCTGTTCAACTTCTTGATGTCCACCAAGCCTAACACCCTCAATCCCCAACGTTGCGCCAATGACAATTATTTCCAAAGAGGTCGAGGACCCCTTCACCCATCATCAGAGGCAGAGCCCTTTTAGTTTGGATGCTCACCTTTTTGGGATCATATTACTAATAATTAACCGTATTTTAGTTATTGGTTGGTTGGGAGACACACTGACAACTAACTTCTGTGACTCGATCTCTTGTGAGAAGAGCTGAAGATCAAGGAGCGTGGCGACCACAATCACCTGCTACCAATCATGATGCTCCTCCATGTTACTTTGTACTGATGGGATTGCTCTTCAGACAGCGGCGAGGCGATGCTGTACTCTGTAGCTGGGTTGAAAAGGTATTAGACTTTATTTAGAAAAGGGATATTGCGTTCAATCACAGTGTCGCAAGTCAGTGCCTGGTACCGCGTGCGTGCGTGCTACTCCTCGAACGGAGGTATTTGGTGGAAGCTTCACTGTGGCTCTACCCCAGCAGATCTACTGGGCGCCGGAATCGTTTTCTTTTCTACCCGAGTATTGCTAACAGTAGTAGTACCATGTTTAGGCAGTGTGTGTACCATCATCTAGTGCATGATTGGAGCTTGGAAGATCCCTTTTGAAGGCAACGGACTTTTTTTAATCCGTCCCATCTACAGCCACATGCATGTTGACTTGATACCGGTTGACCATCATCAGTCGACCCACTCACGAGCACTGACTCTCGCCTACATGTGCTGCAATTCTCAGGTCATAGTACTACACTCATTGCATTACAGCCTTTATTTACAGGTCAACATTGATGGGGTCAATCATGTATAATCATGTGCCTTTGCCATGTTGTAGAGGGTAGTGTGCAATGCACATGATTCAGACATGATGCATCAGAAAGTTTCTAAAGCACCATCACATGCTCCATCGGGATTTTGCAATATTAAAGTTAGTTAGCCATACGCTATACGGCCTCAGTAACGGAGCTGCCACCCAACACCTGAAACGCAACGGCTGCAGAATCTTGGAATGTTCGAGTCTGCCTTGTTCGTTCTGCCAATGTGTCATGCAAGTAATGTCTTCTCCCTGAATGTTCGGAACGTTTTTGCAAATTGTCTGTACATGTGAAAATGGGTTGGCCATCTTTTGTAGCTTTCCACTACGTGGTTCGCGGCTGTAGTTTTTATGGTGGGAGATCTGCGCCAAGCCAATGCTGGATTGTTCAATAGTAGACGCTCTGCAGAGCCTGGGAGCCATTGCCCATGACAGACCAGCATGGCGAGATCTATGCATGAGGGTCTGTGCATTGTGATATTCCCACAGATCCTGAAACAGTCAAACTCAGGAAATAGCACTATCATTATCACTCAGGCTGCAATATTCATATTATGGACATATTCATAAATGACATATCTTCAATACCCATGAGCTACATTGTATATAATAATATAAGTATCATAATTATTATTATCATCGTTCTAGCTCATTTTTTCCCCTGTCATAGTCCTGTTTATCATGTTCAGCATAAGCGAAGTTGTGGATCATGCTTGCATGGTTGACTCCAACGCGTACATGCAAGTAATAATAATAATAGCCATACGCAAATCATCGAAAATAATACTGTCACTTAAAAAAAACATGTGCACTGAGCTGAATGATGCCAAGGTCCTAGACAACTGTTGTCGTGTGGAGCACGCTGCAGTTCTGAGGTGTGAAGTCAGTATGAATTGACAGTACATGTACAATGTATGTGTATTTGTATATGTGTTCAATACGTGTTCAATATACATCATAGTGTACAGTCAACTTCGCTAATAGCGACTGCGGATATAATGACAACTTCGTCGCGATGATAACGACAGAATTTCCATGCCCAGAGCAAAGTCCCATCTAACTGTAACACATATAATGAGACTTCAGGTATAACGACACTTCGCGAATAAGGACACTTTTCTGATGCCCCGCCGAGTGTCGTTATACGCAAAGTTGACTTGCACATAGTCTGGATTCGTTCACCTGACTCACTTGCAAGCCACGGTGGCAGAGGGTCCAAAAAGCGGAGTGCTCATGTTTTACCCCTTCATTCAGCACTAGGACTCGTGAATGACTACTAGCAGACTTTCTAGTGTACTCACCGTGATTGCGGACTACAACTGGCCAGAACAAGTGCAAAGTCGGAATTCTCAGGGAACTTGATATCGCCGCCATGGCATCACCGCACCAGTCCAAGGCATCCGTATGCCTCTGGAGAATCCTTGAAAAGATATCAAAAAAATATCCAGGCAGATAGAATGCCCCGTGTAGTATTCGAGCCCAACCGAGCAGCACTAACCGATGCACATCAGGTAGTGACGTGGCCCTATGTAACAGTATAGACCCGGGTGAGCGCGTCACTAGTTTCTTCCCTCCCTCCTTACTACATGTTATCTCTCATTCTGCTGCTCTCGCGACCATGTACCTATTGTCCACGTTCCGCACTATTATCCATTCCCTCTTCCTCCTCCCATCCTCATGGTGTTGCTGCATTATGGTGCGCTTTGTCTGCGCAGACGCCGAGACCTTTAAGGTCGGCAGAGCAGCCTGGCCCCGTCACCACTTCTCGTGCCTATTCGGGACTATAGTGGACTTTCGTATAAAAAATAAATTAAAAAAGTCTTAACTGGTTTTGAGGGAAAGAGACAAACGGGAAAAGTCTGAAGAAAAAATTGACTGTCACCACCAGGACTCGAACCAGGGACCCTCGCTTGTAGCCAGCGATGCTCTAACCACTGAGCTATGGTGTAGTCGTCATCCAAGCAGAGACCGTTCAACGTTTTCTTCAGACTTCGTAACAAAAAAGTCTTGCGTCAGTTTTCGACAAACTTATGCTGGACAAGTTTCGCTAACTTGGAAGAGGGAAATGTTCGTCTATATTGAAGTAAATCAGACAAACTATGCCATTCCATCAGTCCGAGGGCAGAAAACAGGAGCTACGGCATATTCCTCCCAACAACATTAACCTGAATACTGCAAATTGTTCATATCTCCGCGAACAATCCATACTGCGAGGAAAGTTGATGTTCGTAGAGCTTGTACTTCATACGTGTCCGACCACTTTGAAGTACAGTTGTAGTACATTGTGAACTGATCTCCTGGCATTAAGTTATGGACCATTGTCTGCCTGCCGCTCTACCTTCAACCATTCGAGCACTGTTTTTCTACTGCATTTGGCACACGCTACTGTATAAGATTGCACTCAGGCATGGTGGGTGTTACGTTGTAGATACTAGTGGTGAGGCCTCCAGTGGCACGCCATCAAGTCCCGCCTGCAGATTGCGCAATGCCATCTCAGCAATCCGCACACACGTTGCCATGGTATCGGTGCCGACGTGCGGCACTATGATGACATTCTCCATATTTAGCAGCGGGTGATCGCGAGGCAACGGCTCTGGATCCGTCACGTCCAGACCGGCTGACAATAAGCGTCCGCTTTTTAAACTCTCAACAAGCGCATCGTGATCCACTGAGCTACCGCGTCCCACGTTCACGAAAACTGCGTCCTGTTTGGCGGCTGCAAATACTGTCGTTCCAAACAGCCGGTATGTCTCCGCGGACGCAGGCAGGCAATTGACAATATAGTCGCTGCGCGACATCAATTCTTTCAAGTCCGACACATACTCGGCCTTAAACTGTTCCTCGGTTGCAGCGTCTCTCCGCCGCCGGTTGTGGTAGATCAACTTCATATCAAATCCCAGCGCACGACGAGCAACAGCTAGTCCAACACGGCCCATGCCAACAATGCCCAGTGTAGAGCCGTAGACTTCCTTGCCAAAGAAGCTCGGCTTTGAGCTAGCTGAAGTGCGCGTTGTGCAGAACCGATGCAGCTCCAACAGCCTTCGGCCAGCCGCAAGGATCAGTGCCCATGTGACGTCGGCCGTTGCTCCATCTACTAAGCCAGGCGTGTTGCCCAGAGCAATGTTTCTCTCTTTGCACACCTTGGCATCAATATGATCATACCCAACACTACACGTCGACACTACTTTCAGCGCGGGCATGCTCTCCAACAAGCGCCGATCAATCTTGGTAGGGGCGCTGGGTTTGGTGAGCACCCCCTCGATGCGCTGCAGTACGTTAGGATCGCCGAGGGCATCGTCTCCCACCACCTCGTAGCGCTCTTCAAACTGAGCCTGAAGATAATCGCCGTGTAGGGGTCCAGGACCACACTGCAGAACCGTACGCTTTGCCATTGGAACGTTCAGATTTTCACTCCACAACCCGTCACAAACGACTACACTTGTTTGGGACTCAAACGCAGATCAAAAAGCTGCGAGGATTTCCTCTGACCTAAAGACGTCTTCTCCAACAACCTTTTGCATCAAACTCAGTACTACTAGTACTACAATAGCAACTAAGCCATTGGGGGGAAAACATATATTACCGGTACTACAGTAATACTAGTCAGCCCCTAACATTGCAATATTGACATGCCTAAACTAACATTTTTGGAAATACTGTGATTTTTTGAATGATAAGCCGCTTGAATGAAAAGGTAGCGTAGAAAAAGTAAAATAATTTTTTTGAGCTTTGCATTTGGCGCGGCGGGAAAGCTCCTCGAATCTGCAAAATCGCGTGCGTCATTTTTGAAGAAAAATGACGACGATCGAACAAGGATTGACATAATCATTGAACAAATCCGCTTCTCTTCCACTAGTTCCAGCTATATCTCGCAAGTACAAGTCGTATCGTACATCGAGCTGTGGTATTCTGATTTGGCTGGTTTGTGAAACACAGTAAATGTTCAGCTGTGCAATCCTACTAGTAGTGGTTTGCCGGGCTGAAAACAAAACAAAAAGATGTGCTCACGCTTGGCATTCACCGCGGCGCGGTATTTAGTCAGCAATAGCAGCAGGGTTCGCAATCGTCTCCCCACCACTCGCTGTTGTAGCAGCCAATCTACAAGCACTGATGCTAGCAGTGGGCAATTCGACGTGAGGATGCTGGAGTTTGTGGCGTGTCCGCTCTCCAAGAAGCCACTCCGGTCAGTGGGGCTGGTTTGAACATGAATTTGTAAATAATTATTTGGGTGACTTGGTCACTGCACTACGCATGTAGCGTATTCATGACAACGCGGTGTTGTTGTCGTTGTTGTTATTATTTTATTTATTTTACATCGCATGTCAAACGGGCAGTTCTGCCCAATAATGCAATATTTATGAAAGTGATGACAACCAGTAAGAAGAGTAAGAAATGAAGAAAAAATACATACTAGAATAGAAATGGAAGTAGCAATGAGTGGAGGCAGGGTTAAGACGAGCAGGAAAGATATCTCAAATTAATACAAGTCGGGTCATCGAGGCATGCTTCTCTGGCTCGAGCCTCACTGAATCACGAATCTTGGTTTGTCGTCAATACTGTACCACTTGATACACTATTGTAAGGACTCCATAACCCCTGGAGTTTGCAACTCTGCACACAGGGTCTGGCACGGTGCACTGCCCACACTACGTACTGTAAAACATGTATATATAACGAGGAAGTAAATCTAACGTTTTAACGGATGACATTTCTTCGTTATAATAAGATCCGTTGAGGCCGTACTGCTTCATATATGCTGTGTGTGGATATGGCAGAATACTGCAAGATCGTTAACATCTCTTCTCGTTAACCTATGAATTTTGGACAATCGTTAAATTTGCGACTCGTTATAATAACATGTCTTACAGTACATAGCCACGAAATGGGGAGCCAACTTGGGCATGGCGTCATTAATGATCTGCTATGGATTCCAGCTTCCCGGTACGTTTTGTTCTGAGACTTCAGAATGTTTTATGTACGATGTGTCGTGTGTAGACGCTGCCAGTTTGAACCTACCATATTACATGTGAAATCATTGCGCCATTCATTATGTAATGAGAACTGCTTGCCGCGCAGAGCACCCACAGCCCGGAGATCAGTGGTTCAATGCTGCAGGTATTTTATAAGCTTGCTAATAGGGCTTGAAAGTGATGACGTCAAAACGGCCTGGGAGTAGTAAGTTAACATCAGATTTCTATTTTGGATCCACTAACTTTACTAAGGTGTGACTTTGCTATTGCCTCAGTATGTGGGTGCATAGCAACCCACTCATGTCGTATGCAGGTGCGACTTTTACTTCGCCACCAGTTGTCACCCCGCCCCCACTAGCCAAATCAGTCAGTTTCACTGGCCACATCACCTTGCTGTGAGTAAGACCGCTTGAAACGTGCTTGGATCCATACAAAAACTGGATCCAGGTGGATCCAGTTTTTGAATTTTTCAAATTGTTGCTATGCCATTGCTATGCTGTGATGTAGCACTTTCAAGCCCTATACACTCATACCTCGTTTATCCGGGCAGTCCGGGACCTTGCACTGCCCGTAACTTTGAAATGTCCGTAACTCCGAATCATGTACATCTTGATGGGGAAAAGGCCATCGATATGGCATATGACGTCAATATTTCTACGAAAAGTGACAAAAGAGTAGTAATATTTCCCCTGAAACTCGCTCAAATAGTGCCCGGTAGACCGAAGTGCCCGTAACTTCGGGTTCCGGATAACCGAGGTATGAGTGTACATGTATTTCAACTCTGTAGTCAACTGTTTCCACGAAACGAAACCCAGGAGATCATCCATTTAATTAACCCCAATAGTACTGCCGGGCGCTGAAGCACGGCCAGGCTAGAATATTACCAAACACAGCATACCAATGTGTACACGGTGACTCAACTGTGCTGTGGCGACCACCATTCAATGTCTCGTCCTCCCCCAACCGTACCCCAACTCTCTCTCTCTCCCAGCTCTCTTTTTAGCTGCCTTTGCTTACTCTTTTTTCTTTGTCAGCTTTCCTGGTGGTTATGTGCTTTTTCAAGTAAATAAAAAAATGCCTGTAATGCATGAAAATAAGAACGGTCTATGCTAGGAGGCTGCCCCCCCCCCCCCCCCCCCCCCCCCCCGTTCTTGGGCGACTGACAGTACTGTAGCGTTAGAACAGCATCATTTAAATGCAACCGAGCTGGTCGAGTAGTGTGTAATCATAGAAAGCTCGACTCGACGGACAACACCGTTCCGGTCCACTATGGCCTTCTCCCTTGAGAGACATGACAGTCATGGCTGCCTAAATGCAAAGGGTTTATAGGAATCTGCTGCGGTAAGATACCCATGAATATTGTATAATTTCTTTCCCTTCGGAAGTTAGTTCTATGACGGAGTTTTGAAACTGTTCTGTTTATTCCAATCATCTGCATTCAACTGCAATGAGCCCCTCACAATACTGTAAAAGCAGAAATGGTCGGTGGTGTTTTATTCTCGGTAACTTCGGTGCCGACAATTTTTACAGAAAATAAAACGCACCGAAAATTTCGGTACTAGTACACTTACCTGGAAAACGGGTCGGCACCGAAGTTACCGAGAATAAAACACCACCGACCATTTCTGCTTTTACAGTATTGTGAGGGGCTCATTGCAGTTGAATGCAGATGATTGGAATAAACAGAACAGTTTCAAAACTCCGTCATAGAACTAACTTCCGAAGGGAAAGAAATTATACAATATTCATGGGTATCTTACCGCAGCAGATTCCTATATTCGCACCGAAAATTTCGGTACTAGTACACTTACCTGGAAAACGGGTTTCCCAAAAATTTCCCTCCACAGAACCGCCGATTTTTGGAGATTACCGAAAATATTACACCACCGAAGATTTCTGCTTTTACAGGAGGCAAATGAGAACTGTTAGATGCCGAATCAAGTAGATCGGGTACCAGCTGCATCATCACCTTATCAAACTAAACCTGTCCACTTAACCTCCTCGGTTTCTCCTGAAGCAGTGGCAGCAAGGTGTCGAGGGATAGCTAATTTTACATCTGCACCAGTGCGGTTGCTTTTCCGCATCAGCCTCGTGCAATGTACTTGTGGTGGTCTGCCAGTCTATGCAGTTCGTACTTCATTCTATGAGTGCATAACCCCGAAGAGGGCAACTCCAGCTATGGGGTCTGTGACGGCAGGACTTCACATCACGTGACGAACCCGTACACATTATTTGCACCCTGTACATGATAGATACAGGGTCGTACGCAACCTTGCCTTGGGTTCAACTCTCCTGTGGTCACTTTGCACTGCTGTTTGCCAGCGTAGTCTATTGAACCATGTCACGTGATGTGAAGTTCTGCCGTTGCAGCACTGTATAGAGGGTGTATAGGCAGTTGCACACTCTAAATATTGATATTGTAGTTCAAGACTGTGCATGTGGTGGTGCTAGTGGTGATTATCAGAAATTATTATTGTATTGTACTTATTCCACATTTTCTAGCTCGTCAAACGACTGCCGATGACAAATGAATGTGAAATGAAGGGTGATAGCCAACTACGGCAACTATCCGAAACAGTAAAAAAGAAAAAGAGAGTAAAAGGCATGAAGGAATCGCCCGAGGTTAACCTAAGAGAGTACAGATGATGATAAGTAGAGGCAGGCGCAGTTAGGCAAAGATAACACGTTTTTAAATTTCTTGATATCATTATAACACACAAGATATATTTTGGGGGTGGACATAGTAAAATTTACAAAACAAAATGGCCGAGTACGGTATACACACATGCATCAACGCTTACTTTTAATTGACCAGGACATGGATTTTGAGAATCATTTTTTACTAGGATAGGACTTGGCCTGCAGCGTGTTATTACTTTAGGGGTATAACTGTGTGAGCTGAGCTGTCCCTCTCGGTATGGTTTTCATGTGCATACTTCGAAGCAAGCCGTGCTGTCTGTCTGGACTGGAGACTGGCGTTTGGGTCATATGACATGTTTATCTTATCTTTGCCCAGTGACAAACTCCTGTCATGTCCCCTGCCCTGATCACCTGACCAAACACAAGGCTAGGCCCGGAGCATTTGGAGCATTGATAGCAGCCGGGAAGGCCGTGACTATGGGCATGCGCAACCGGTCCATGTGTTCTGATGCCCGTCGGAGCTTCTTCTCTTCGCTGAAAGTAGAGTGTGTTTGTGTTCCACTCATGTGCGCCTTGAAAGAAAATGTCTCCACCAAAGTGTGCGTCGTGCGGGGAGAGCAAGGAGGAGGCCCGGCTAATCTCCTGCCTTCACTCACTGTGCGTCGCCTGTCTTGAGCGACATGTCGAGGGCAACAGCGAGGACGACAGCGAGACGTGCGTGAAGTGTCCGAGCTGTGCCGTGCTGACGCCTTTCCAAGCTGGCCGCTCGGTGGCTGCTGTGTTGCCCCTAAGTTACCCGGCTCAGCTGCGGGAGAATGAATGGAGTAGTGATGATCCTGCTAAGCTGCAGTGCGATGAGTGCGGTGACAATGAGCCAGCGCTGGCCACTTGCTCAGACTGCAAGGCGAAGCTTTGTGATGTGCACGCCAAGTCTCACCCGCGCTCCAAGGCCACGTTCAAGCACACCGTGATGGTGTTTCCGGACTCGCCCAGCGACG